TCATTGCTTAGTTTATTTTGAAAAGACAAAACTTAAACATCTGTTAGCAATTTCAATCACGTTATTATTTTATTAATCTGCCTGTCCTTAAATTAAACTATTACATTTCAAAAATAACTATAATACTACTATTAGTACTTGTATGCAAATACTACTACTACTACTTCTACTACTATTACTACTACTACTACTACTATTACTACTACTACTACAACTACTACTACTACTACTATTACTACTACTACTATTACTACTACTACTACAACTACTACTACTATTACTACTACTATTATTACTACTACTACAACTACTACTACTACTACTACTACTACAACTACTACTACCACTACTATTACTACTACTACTATTACTACTACTACTACTATTACTACTACTACTACTACAACTACTACTAGTAGTAGTCCTACTTTGCTCTAAAACTCTCACCGCTTCTAAACAATGAATGGAAATAAAGTATAATTGAAAAAGAACAGAAAACAAACAAACAAACAAACATAAAAAGATGCAAACTAACAAACATATAAACAGGCAAGCAAGTGAGTAGACAGGTAGGTTGACAGACAGACAGACATACTCACAAGAAAGAAACACGTTCTAATTTATTCATCTCTTCCAGTAAACCTATAACGAACTGGTTTTGAGGGATGGATTCACGTAACACGTTCATAAATATGGATAAGAGCACATTTTCTAGTGGTTTTATAAAATTTTGCTCTTAAATACCATATACCTATATCTATGTATCGGTGTACTTGCATGTGTATGTACTCCTGTTGGTGTATATAAATTTGTATGTGTGTGTCTGTGTGTGTACGTATGCGTAGGGAATATTGTTTTAAGATTTTTCATCATCCCTTATGTTTATTGTATTGTGTTTTTAATGCAATGAAGTTTTCGAGTTATGATTTCTAGTTTTGTTTGCATCCGTCTATACTTTTTGTAGTATGTGTGTGTAAGTGTGCGTGTCTATAGGTGTGCATTTGTGTGCGTGTGTGTGTGTTAAGAGTTATCTGCGTGTGTGTGTGTGTATGTATGTGTATCTGAAGAGTTGTCTGTGTGTGTGTGTGTTTAAAAGTAAAAATGTGTGTGTATGTGAATGAAACAAAAAAAATAACTCAAACAACGACAAAATGAACGAAGTGCATTATATTAAAAAAGAACGGAGATCACCAAAACAGGAAATTTTCGCAGATGGCAGACGATCCAGCACTGAATGTCGATACTCGCGCCAAATATAATTCTTAAAAAAAAAAATAAATTATAATTATAGCTCTTTGCTGGCCTGAACGCTGAAAATATATACCGGCTGACACTGTCAAGATGTGTTGTAATTGTGAATGTGTTTGTTGTGTGTGTGTGTGTGTGTGTGTGTGTGTATTTGTATGTTGCGTGCGTGTGTGTAGTGTGTGTGTAGAGTTTATGTGTGTGTGTGTGTGTGTGTGTGTGTGTGTGTGTGTGTGAGTGTTAATTCATTTGTCTCCGTGAAAATTTCTGTACTGCCATGTATGTTGGAATAAGTTTGTATCACCACCAACAAAACAATCATCATCATCATCATCATCATCATCATAACCATCAACATCAGCAGCAGCAACATCATCACCATCATCGTCATTCTCATACTCATCATCGTAATAATCATCATCATCATCACTTTTTCTTTAGCCCACACAGCCATCGTCATTATCATTATCTTCTTCATTATCATTATCTTCATCAGTATAATTATCATCATAATCATTAGTAATCATCACAATCGTGACATTTTAAGCTTTGAATATATATCAAACAATCAACAGTCATCATCAGAGCAGGCAGATGAGCGGCACGGTATCTGTTACTCACGCTCCCTTGTTTAGAATCAATACCGAAATAAAATCATCGTAATTGAAATTTTTTGATATTTATCATAAAATTATAATATATTATTGGTAATAATAGTAATAATAATAATGACAGCAACAAAACAACAGCAACGACAGCAGCAGCAGCAACAACAACAACAACAAAAACAATAATAATTATAATAATAATAAAAATAACGAAAGTTATTGATGATAGATAAAATAATTATATTTATTATTTAATAAGAGCTCATGACATATATACAAGTAATTAAAGTAGAAGTAGTAGTAGTAGTAGAAGTGGAAGTAGTAATAGTAGTTGTTGTTGTTGTTAAAATGGTAGTAGTAGTAGGAGTAGTAGTAGTAGTAGTAGTAATAGTAGCAGTAGTAGTTGTTGTAGTAGTAGTAGTAGTAGTAGCAGTAGTTGAAGTTGTTGTTGTTGTTGTAATAGTAGTTGTTGTTGTAGTAGCAATAGTAGTATTAGTAGTCGTCATAGTAGTAGTAGTAATAGCAGTAGTAGTAGCAGTAGCAGTAGCAGTAGTTGTAGCATTAGTAGTAGCAGTAGTAGTAGTGGTACGAACAGCAACAGTATTAGCAACACATGGGCAGAAAAAATATTTTTTCTTTGTGAAAAAAGTAAAAAAAATAACACAAAAAAATTATGACGATAAGAATAATAATATCAAAAACAATAATGAAAATAATAATAATAAAATATAATGGTAATTATTAATATGATATAATTATTAATTTCTACAATAAAAATGATAATTATCTTAATCATTACAAATGGTCCACAAGCGTAGTTATAAGAGCTGTAATATCAATCAATAAAATAAGTTCTACTACTACTACTACTACTACTACTACTACTACTACTACTACAACTACTACCACTCCTACTACTACCACTACTATTACTACTATTACTACTAGTACTACTACTTCTAATAATAATAATAATAATAATAATACTGTTTCTACTACAACAACAACAACAACAACAACAACTACTACTACTACTACTACTACTACTACTACTGCTGCTGCTACTACTACAATCGATTATAAACTTTTAATGAATTGTTTTTAAATCGAGCGAAGATAGAGTGAGCAGGCTGTCTTTGTTTGCGTTTCGTTTTTAATGAATTTGCTGTTCTTGTTGTGGTTTGCAGTTGTTGTTGTTGTTGTTGTTGTTTGCAGTTGTTGTTGTTGTTTTTGTTGTTGTTTTTGTTGTTGTTTTTGTTGTTGTTGTTGTTGCAGTTGTTTTTGTTGTTGTTGCTTGCAGTTGTTGTTGTTGATTTGTTGTTGCAGTTGTTGTTGTTACTGCCGTTTTAAACTGCTATCATTCTTGTTGACGTCATTTGGTTGTTCGTCAAATCACAAATCACAATCCACAGCCACGTTAAAACATGTTCACCCGTCATCATCTATCATTCAATTTTCCTCAATGTCTCAACAGGTTTTTAGGTTTTTATACTTTTTGGATGTATCAAATACAACATGTACATTTGCATAAACACACACATATACATCACACACACACACATACACAAATATATATATGTTGGTAATAGACCATAATTATTACAATATTCTATAAATTCTACCGAATGTTTG